CTGTGTGTGTGTGTGTGTGTGGGAGGGTCTCCATCTCACCCTCTACCCACTAACCATCCATGCAACAAACATTTATGATGCACCTGCTCTGTGGCCAGCCCTGGGCTGGACACCGAGAAGACAGAAATGAATCCTTTGGTCCACAGCCTCAGGTAAGGCCAGGCATGGCCCTGTGGCGGGACTTAGGCTCGAGGTCTGAGAACACAGTGGAGGCTCTCCCAGGATCCAGTTAGGGAGAGTCCTTGGGAGGCCCACGGACTGTGGAGGCAGTACCTGCTGGGAGCTAACCCCGCAGTGAGCCCCTTCTCATCTCTGGGCCTCCGGCTCCCCACCTGTCCAGCGCCGGCAGAGTGCTGGCGGCCGCTGCGCTCTCAGCCCACGTGCCTGCCCTGCAGCCGCACTCACATGGGCTGTGTGCTCCCCTCCTGCTCACCACTCATCCCAGAGCCCAGGGGAGGTCCCTGCGCTATTACTCTGATTGCCTGTGACGGGTGGTGACAGGTGGGAAGCCGGAAGGTCAGCATGTTGACAGCCCCAGGGAGGTCCAAGTAGCACAGAAGAAAGTGGGTGAGCTGTGGGGGAGCAGAGAGCCTCCAGCCCAGAAGATGCGAGGCTGGGGCCGCTCAGTGGCTAGAGCAGAGGGGCGGACCCTGTGGCCCCATGCTGGCCAGCCCTGCAAACCTCTGGGCTGGTTTCACGACTCCCCAGCAAGTCCCCCACCCAACAGTCTCTCTCTCAGTGGCCTGCCACAGTCCCTGAACTCTGCAAAAGATCGCAGGTTTGAGCTGCAAGACTCAGACTAGAACCCACCACACTCACTCTGAGATCTTGCACTACGCCCAGATGCTCTCAGTGCCTCCCTGTACAAGGGAAGGACTGGGCTGCACGACGGGGCTCCGGGCTCCCCTCACTCTCACTTTCATATGGAAGGCATTCGTTTGACTCCAGATGCCCTTGTGAAATGGACTCTCCCTCTCTCCTTTTCTCCACCTGTTCATTGCATTTATCTGACGAGCACTGAGTGCATATCCAGTGCTGGACAGTGGCGGACAGGTGCCTGTTCCGGGCACTCATGATCTCCAGAATCAAGGTCTTTTGATCAGGGTAGGTACTAGGCTGAGGGAAGCACATGAGATGGTGAGGGTGCACAGGACACCTCTAATCCAACCTGGGAGCAGGGCAGACTTCCTGGAGAAGGCACTGTTAGCTGAGGGATGCGATCAGTGTTAGCTGGGTGAGGATGAGAGTGAGGCTGCCCTTGGAGGGTTCCGGGGGAATCCCACGTGCAAAGACTAGGAGGTCAGGGAGGCTCACTTGGGAAGCCAGCTGCAGAAGACACACAGACAACACCCTCTCAGCCCTGCCCATGACTCAGTGCTGTTGAGGCTCCTGCCAAAGCTGTGAGTCTCCCGTATGTGATCTGGAACCATCAGTTGCCTCAGTTTCCCTGTGTGTCAAATGGGCCTGGATATCTGCAGTCGCCTCCTCGGGGAGGCTGTAAAGTCCTAATGAGGCTGGAGAGGTGAATGTCCTTTGGTAAAGCCCAGTGTACACTCTTGAGTGATGGGCTAAGCCAGTCCCTGGCTGGGCCACAGAGGCAACCCCACTCTTGCCCACCCACAAGCATGATCAAGCTGAAAGGGGGACCAGGCGTGGTGGCCTCCAGTGCACAGGCTGCAGGAACTCCCTGCCAGCAGCTCTTGGAATGCCCTCCTGGCAGCCAAGGCAATTCCTTCCCAGCCTCCATGGAGACCCGTTTAAAGACAGGGGCCTCCAGGCCCAGCAGTGGTCCCTGCAGAGGACTTCAAGAGCTGCAGGGAAAGCAGGCCACCTCAGGCTGCACCCGAGCAGCACAAATATTTCCTGATGGCTGTGTGGCCACTCTAAAAGGAGCATTCCTGGAGCTGGTGGAAGGGGCATTTGGAGGGGCCTGAGCCTTACTGGATGCTGGCCAGGCCCTGTGCACTGCGTGGCAACATTTCAGTGTCTGGTCTGCACCCCGTCAGGTCCCTCCACCTCAGCAGTTCCAGATCCTTACTATGTATTTTAAGACCCTAAATAGCAGACTTTAGATACTTTGAGAAGTAGGAAGCAATTGGCCTTGGGTTTTTTTCAAATTCCTATCGCCTCCTCTAAGCCACCAGCACCTTCACCTCCTTCCTTCCAGGGCAGGGAGGTGTCCTTCCCCTGCAGGGGCAGCTCCTGACACAGCTCCGGGAAGCCCCCTCCCATGTGGTTCCTGCCCCAAGACTGTATGGAGCAGAGCAAGCGGCAACTCCCACACCCTGGTTCCCATCCTCGCCCTCTTTGGGGCTGGTTTTCACAGGACCCCGTATTCTGTCTTGTTTTCTTCACACTCCTCTCACTGCTGCCTGTCCTTCCTCCTGGTGGCTCCTCCTTCCCTTCCCCGATAAATGTGGGCACCCTGGGAACCCTGTCCACAGACCTCTTTTCCCTCTCTATTTGCAATTCGTGGACAAATCATCCACCCATACAGCTTCAGTCAGCACACAATGCTGACCACTCTGGACCCCCTGCCCTAGCCCAGACCCATCTGTCCAGTGGCCTCCTGGGTGTCTCCATCCAACATCCTCCAGAGCCTCAGCCTCCCCCCTGGGATGCGTCTCAGCCAAGCCTCGCTCTCCAAGTCAGACAGGCCCGTCTTCACTCTTCCTTCTCCCTCCTCGTCCTCATCCAATCAGTCACCAGACTCCCCGGGATCTCACCTCCTAACACTGCTTGACCCTGGCCCAGGTCACCATCACCTTCTGCCTGAATCACCGCAGACAGCATCCTCCTTGCCCTCTCCTGCTCACCCTCCTCACTGCGGCTGGAGTGGGCTCCCCACACCCCAGAGCTGCCTCTGTCAGAACGTGTCCCCAACCAGCCACGCGCGGGGAGACCGAGAGCTTTTCGAGGGCAGGGGCCATGCCTAATTCATCTTTGTCCCCAGGGTTAAGCCCAAGTCTGGCACATGGTGGTGGCTCTGTGAATGTTTGCTGAATGAATGAAGGACAGTATCTGTTACTCCATATCCTTTCCATGACCTCATCGTATCCCCAGGAGACCCGAGCTCATGGACCCCTCCCCTCGAAGCCCAGCCCAGCCCCGTGGTGAAGATCTTGCAGATTCCACCAGTCCTGGGAGCTCGGCTCTCAGAGCAGCTCCAGAGTCAGGGCCCGGTGCACGTTGTCCCCAAGGGCTGGCGGACAGGGCTTGGGCTTGCCTCCAAGGTCACAAATCCTGAAAAAGGCACCACACCCATCCTGGAACCTGCAGGGAAGGTGTGGAAAGTTTCCAGAGGGGCCCCACAGTGCTGGGGCTTAGCCTGTGTGGCTTGCCCAGGCTCTCGGGGTCTCCTGGCCACCGCTCAGCAGCTCCCTCCAGCGCTGACAGCTGTTCTCTGGCCAGCTCTCTGCAGGAAGACATGTCCCATTTCATCTGCTGAGGCTGCATGGATGAGGAAAGGAGGCAAGAGAGGGAAGACGGGGGGTAGGCACACAGAGCCCCAGAGACAAACGGTCGGGGGAGAGACACACAGAGAGGGGAGAGACACTCACAGAGACAGAGAGGCAGAAGAAAAGCCCCAGAACACAAGGAGACAGAAGAAGGAGGAGAGGAGGGAGGAGAGAGGGGCTGGAAG